TCTTTTTTATTCTAGCCATTCTGACAGGTGTAAGGTGATATTTCATTGTGGTTTTGATTTGTATTTCAGCATCTTTTCATCTGTATGGCCATCTGTATGTCTTTTGGAAAAATGTCTTTTCAGGTCCTCCGTCCATTTTAATCGGATTATTTGTGCATTTTTTTTATGTTGGGCTGTATAAAGTCTTTATATATTTTGGATGTTAATCCCTTATCAGATACATCATTTGCAAATATCTTCTCCCATTCAGTAGGTTTACCTTTTCATTTTGTTGATGGTTTCCTTCTCTGTGCAAAAGCTTTTTATTTTGATGTAGTCCCAATAGTTTTGTTTTTGTTTCACTTGCCTTAAGAGACACACCTAGAAAAATGTCACTTATGGCCAACGTCAAAGAGATTACTGCCTGCTTTCTTCTAGGAGTTTCATGGTTTTAGGTCACACATTTAGGTCTTTAATCCATTTTGAGTTTATTTTGGTATATTGTGTAAGAAAGTAGCCCAGTTTTCCCAGCACAATTTATTAAGAGACTGTCTCTTCCCCATTGTATATTCTTGCCTCCTTTATCATAGATTAATTGATCATATAAGCATGGGTTTATTTCTGGGTTCTCTATTCTGTTCCGTTGATCTGTGTGTCTGTTTTTGTGCCAGTAGCATACTGTTTTGATACAACAACTTTGTCGTCTATCTTGAAATGTGATATCTCCCACTTTGTTCTTTCTCAAGATTGCTTTGGCTATTTGGGGTCTTTTGTTGGTTCCATATAAATTTTAGTATTATTTCTTACAGTTCTGTGAAAAATGCTGTTGGTATTTTGATAGGTATTACATTGAATCTATAGATTCCTTTGGTAGTGTGGACATTTTAATAATATTAATTCTTCCAATCCATGATCATGGAATATCTTTCCATTTGTTTGTGTCATCTTCAGTTTCTTTCATCAGTATTTTATAATTTTCAGAGTACAGGTCTTTCACTTCCTTGTTATTCCTAAGGATTTTATTCTTTTTGGTGCATGTCCTTTTTGAGTTTTATATACATGCACACATATTCAAAAATGAAATAATTTAAAAATAAAGTGAATGTTTTCACTATGAAGAATACAAAAAAAATTCAAATCGTAATTTAAATATGTGATATCATTGAGATTTTTTTCATTTAACAATTGTGAACATTTTCCTGTGTCTTTTAAAAATATTCACAAACATGGGGCACCCAGGTGGCTCAGTCAGTTAAGCGTCTGACTCTTGATTTTGGCTCAGGTCATGATCTCTCAGGATCGAGCCCCGAGAGTCAGGCTCCACACTCAGCAGCGGGGAGCCCGCTTAAGATTATCCCTCTCCCTCAGCCCCTCCCCCTGCCTGTCTGTGTTCTCTCTCTCAAAAATTCACAAACATTTTAAGGCCTGAAGTATATCTCATTCGGCTATAAATTGGTGAGATATGTATATATTTCTCTGCCGTCCATATACGAGCTCATTTTGGTGTCTTAGTTTTTGACTAATATAAATAATACCATAATGAATATCTTTGTACATTTATCTTCACGTACAACTTGGACTCTTCTCTTAGAATCAGTTATTATGAGGGGTGCCTTGGGTGGCTCAGTCGGTTAAGTGTCTGCCTTTGGCTCAGGTCACTGACGATCCCAGGGTTCTAGGATTGAGCCCCAAATCGGGCTCCCTGCAGTTTACACTATCATTAGCAGTCTGATAATGACCACTTTCTGACGCAGTTTCCAACTCTAAAGATCCATTTCCCCATTGCTGTTGACTTTAAAGAACAGAGAGCAAGAATTCAAATGTCACGGAAAAGTGAAATTGTGTGCTTGTGCTGAGGCTCAGGGGGCTCCCCCGGCTATACCCTAAAATCACTTTGAAATCCCTCTTCCCCAAGAGGATGAGGCAGCTGGAGCACGTTGGCTGCATTGGTGTTTTCTAGATTTGGGCTTTGCACTTGGCACACTTCCCTCTCTGAGCCAGGAGGGTCAGCTCCCTGCACAGGGCAGCTTGTAAGGCAAGGGCAGGAGCCAAGGCCCCAGGGCATCTATTCCAGCGGGAAGCTGGCCTTTTAGGTGAGGCTTGTAACTCCAACCCACAGTGTCAGATCCTAGAGATAGCAGACAAGAACGCCACAGCAGTCTACAGCAGACAGAGTCCTTTCCCAGCAGTCCTAACGAGTCACTTTATCATCCCCACAGATAGGGAAAGAGAGATGAAGGGAGGATAGGTAGAAATTTGAGGAATATTCATTGATCACATAGTCTTTGCCAGGCCCTGGGAGCAGTCAGAGCATGTTGGCTCAGGTGCCCGGATTAGGCCTTTTGGTCTGGCATGGTGAAATCCCTGCTCTCATGGAAGCGACATTCTAGTTGGAAGAGAGCTGAGACAGGGCTGGGGGAGATGGTGTGGCCTGCCCAGGGTCTGTCCCCTGCCCTCAGCAGCAGACGTGACGTGGAGGATGAGCCTGGGCCTAGGAGCCAGATGGGTCCGCCCAAGACCTTTCTGAGTCATGGTTGCAAACTCACCTCACGGACCTGAGAGGGCTATTGTGGCAGTGTAGTAAGTGAGGACCAGAAAGCCTAGAATGACTTGGTAACTGTCATCTTTATTATTACTGTTAGAATTGTCAGAAATGTTATTCCTGTTACTGCAGCAGGTCAGTCCCCTATTCTGAAGCTTTGAGCCATTTCCCAAGAGGGAGAGTGCAGAAGTAAAACTTCTGTGACCTGCAGAAGGAACCCCTTCTGGGACTTGAGTTGTTTTTTGTTGTGGTGTTTTTTTTGCTGAGGAGACAAAGCACTAGGGCAACTTGTTTCTCTCAAGGCAGCCAAGAAAAGTAGTCGGAGCACACCCTCTGTTGGAGCCCGGGAGGATTGCCTTAGGCGGGATCTGGCCCTGCCTTTATTTTACAGATGGGGTAACAGGCCCAGGGAGGGGCAGAGCGTTTTCTTGGAGTGCCCCTGATGTATTCTTGTCTCTTCTGAGCTAGGTGTTGTGGGGAGATGTGGGGCCAGCCCTCCACACTGGCAGCCTGTCCTCTCTCTCTCTCTCTCTCTCTCTCTCTCTCTCACACACACACACACACACACACACACACACACGTCGTGCATGCCCCCTCAGCACTTACTGGGTGCCCCCCCGCCGCCACCTTCTGCCAATGTCAGTCACCTTATGAAAGCATCACACAGTTACTTGGGCTGATAAGAACTTCCACCATTACAAAAATAGTCTTAGAAGTAAAAGTTTAACTTGACAAGGTTTTTTTTCCTTGTATCTGCTTTTTCCCACAGAAACCAGCTCTATCTTAGGTGTTGTTTTGCAGTTAACAGTTTATCTCAGAAACCTTGCTATATCAGTACAGGTCCATCTGGTGTGATTTGACTGCCTTCAGAAAATCAGAGGTACTCAGAAATGTTCATGTCCCCCTAGCAGATGAACATTTTTTATATAATCGCAATACTGATCGTTGGCAAGGGTGCAGATAAATGGACAATCTTATGTGCTGAAAGTGGGAATATAAATAATAGTACAGAATTTAAAAGGGCTTTTCCCCCCATCTTTTGTCATCATAAATACCTATAGTCTTCACGAAGGCAACTTGGAAACGTGTCTAAACAATGTGGCTTAAAAATCGTCTCATCCTTCCCTTTAGCCCAGCAATTCTAGAGATGTACTCTAATAACTAGAGTGAGGCACAGAGATTTACAGGGTAGAAAATTGGAAATAACTCCATGTCCATTTCTAGGGAACTGATCAAATCTTGGTACATCCAAGTATGTGTGTACAAAACTCATCTAGAGGGAACCTTAATGACATGTTCTAGAGTGTTCTACAGAGTAGGCTATAAAATGCAATGTATAGTGTGATTCCCCCAATGTTTTCAAATATATGTGGCTCTTCTTTATATGTGTGGTTCTCTTTTCTCCCTAGGCTTATTATCTACCAGCAGAGCTCTTAAGCATCTCTATAGCAGTAACTTCTAATTTCCATAGCATCCCCCATCTCTGAGTTCCAGCCCCCTACCTCCATGTACCTACTTGGTCTCTCCCCTTATAGGGCTTACAGGCGTCTCCAAGTTGGTGTGGTCCAAAAGAACTCTGAATCTTCACCCCCCGCCATCATGCCCCCAAATATTCCTCCTCTGTTCATCTCAGTAAGCCACACTTCCGCTTAGTCGTGTCAGAAAGCTCACTTCCCCCCGGATACCAGGTCCTGTTGATTGAACCTCCAAGTAACCTCTAGAATCTACACCACCGCCTCCTTCTTCCACTGAAGATCTTCTCACACCTGACCAGCAGGAGCCCCACAACTTGCCCACTTCTGGGCCCTGCTCAACCCAGATGCAGAGTCCTCTTTGAAAATGCAGATCTGATCTTTCAAGACCTGCAGCCAAGTTGCAGATGTGATCTGGCCCCTGCCCAGCGTACTCCAGCCTGTGGCTCTTTTGGTTCTTGCATCTATTCATACTCTTCCCTCCCCCGAGCCTTCACACACACTGTTCCCCTCAACCCATCTAGATAACACCTCTTCTTCCTTGGAGTTCATCTAAAATGTTGCTTCCTGATCCGCAGCCTTGGTCAGACCCTGGTAAGTCACTCCAGCACCCTGCCTTCTCCCTGGGAGCCCTGAGCACCCTTGTAGTTCCTTGGGTGATGTAGGCAGTTTGCTGCGGCCCCCAGCAGACTGTTGGCTTCTTGGGGGCAGAGACTGTGGCGGACTTGTTCACGGCTGCATCTACAGCACCTAGCCAGGGCTAGATATTTATCAGTAACTTTAGAGGAAAGACAAAAGGGGTTCTTTAAACTGCTGATAGTGGTTTCCTGGGTGTGAAATTATGGGTGATTTATTTTGTTCTTCGTACTTTTCTTTACTGTTTTGTCTTCAGTGACCAAGGCAAAAACTGACATTTTATCAGGAGACATCTGTGCTGGGGCCCAGAGCGGGGTCTTCCTTGCGGGATGCACCTGGCCTCACCTGTCCTCCTGCCTCTGTCCCCACAGGCCTGAGGAGCGATGCACCAGGCGTGATGGAGGTTGAGTCCTCCTACTCGGACTTCATTTCCTGCGAGAGGACGGGCCGTCGGAACGCAGTCCCGGACATCCAGGGGGGCTCTGAGGCTGTGAGCGTGAGGACGCTGGCTGGAGACATGGGCGAGCTGACACTCGAGGGCACAGGTTAGAACGCATGGGTCCTCATTCCTGCACACGAGTCCCTCTTCTGGGCTCCGGGGCCGCGCTCCAAGTCCTAGACTGCCCACTTTAAACCAGGCCCTAGTCTCGTGGTCAATGGCCCAGCAGCCAACCGGTTTCTAGGCTGGAGGGCCCTAGTGTGTCAGGCCCTGAGGACTCTCTGGCTGGGCATCCCAGCCTCCTCCCTTTCCTCATTGCCCCCTCCATCCGGTCAGTCCTGTCAGTTCTCTTCCCAGACACATCCCAGGTCCCTCTACTTCCCTGTCCCCCCCCACCTGCCAGCCAGCGGCCAGCAGGACCCACTCAGACTGTCCCGTCCCAGCACGTCTCGGCCTCAAGCCCCCTGTCGCACTCACAGTGGAGTTGTCACAGCGCCCTCCTGGGTGACCAGGCCCTGCCCTGCCTCTCAGATCTCAGCAGGGGCCCTTCTGCCCTCAGCTGCTGTCCTCCAGCCACACCCATCACAGATCTGTTTCTGTCAAGGCACAGGCCTGCCCTGTCCAGAGCCTCCTGTCACGGTTTCCTCTGCTAGAACCTTCCCACCCAGTCCTATGGCTGAATTCCTCCCAGGTGCTCAGAGGGGCCTGCCCGGACACTGAATGATAAGGTTTCAGGTGTTTGAATGTGAGCTCTAGGAGAGCGAGTGCTTGGAACCCACAGGCTGCAAGAGTGAATGGATGGGGGAAATAGCCGCCGCCCACTCCCATAGTGCCTGGGGCGTCCGTCCTTCCCTTCCTGTCCAAGTAGACTCTCCTCTGCTCAGTTCACTGGTCAGCCCTGGGGCCTTGCTCTGCGCAGCCCTCCCTCACCGTCCTGCACTGGGCAGAGCCCTCTCCTCCCTGTCCCCATAGCTCCGTGGAGGCAGTGTTTGTGTCACATCCCCTCCCATGGCAGACTGCAACTATAGGGCTCCCTGGGTCTCCCACAGAGCTGTCCTGGAGGGCCACCATCTTATTTTCCCTCAGGTAGTCTCCAGTCTAGAGCCCTTGGTGCTCGTTAGCCAGAAGTGACCACGGAGTAGAGAGCAGACTGTGCAGACATGGACTCAACCCACTGCTGTTATAGATGGGCCAAGAGGCCCAAGAAGCTGGGTGGCCTGCTCAGGGTCACCAGCAAGTTAACATAGAACAGCACACCCCACACCCCTTCCCTGCTCTAGTGGTCAGCCCTCCCTGTCCTGTGTCCCACACTGCTCACAGCTAACCTCAGCCTGCTGCCTCTGACCCAGCCAAAGGAAAGCACATCTGTTTCTCAACCCCCGATGGACCTTAACACGCTGGTTCTTCCTACCTCCCCTCCCAGCCACCTCCACAACCCCACTTAGCCCAGCACCCCTCTAGGCTGTGGGCTTCCTCCACCTGGGTCTTCGTCTTATGCACGTGGTACATGGCATTTGGCAGGTGGGAAAGGTTGCCTAGTCCAGGGCTGTTCACTGACCAGCATGCCTCACTCCCACACGGGGCATGCAGCCAGAGGGCTTGCTCAGAGCTGCTGCATCCTTATCCTTGGCTCTGGGAAACTTTTCTGTCCCCCTGTACCTCAGCAGTAGTAGCCACTCATCGGTGGACCCAGGCCCTTTGAATACCTGTTTTCTCCAATTTGGAATCCCTGAAGTGTCTGGGTCCTCTGGGTCTAGGACATTTGCCTGCCGGGGTGACAGACATTTAAAAAGGGGACCTGAGGAAGGAACAGTGTTCACTGCAAGGAAGTAAAGCACTCATGGTAGAGTTGTAGGCTGGCCTGGCCAGGGAACCTTCCAGTGGGCGCTGCAATAAGCAGTTTCCACAGGCAGGCCTGGGGGCTGTGCTCAGTCTCCCAGACTCACTGAGGGAGTGGGCCTACAGAGATTCTGACCAGCAGGCCCGGCTGAGAATCTGCTTAAAAAGCCCGGGAGATGGAGACCTAGCAGGATGGATGGGGAGGCAGGGCCTTGGCCTGTCCTGAAGGCCTGGCCGCCCGGCCCTCCAGCGCTTGTTAATGCTCCCTTAGCATATCCTACCTTTCCTGATACCTCCATATGTGGGGAGCACAGGTGTTCCTTTACTTTGCCTAATAATAAGAGTACACTGCCCAGCAATATGTTCCCAGGAAGCATTTCAAGTTGTGCCCTGAAACTGGCCCCAAGGGGGTCCCAAGGGTAGTGGTTGGTGAACAAAGTGCTTAAGAACCTTCTCCCCTGGAGAGCCTGAGTGGCGCAGTTGGTCAAGTATTCGACTCTTGATTTCAGCTCAGGTCATGATGTCAGGGTCGTGAGATCGAATCTCACATTGGGCTCCACACTGGGTGTGGAGTCTGCTTAAGATTCTCTGTACCTGGGGCGCCTGGGTGGCTCAGTCATTAAATGTCTACCTTCAGCTCAGGTCATGATCCCAGGGTCCTGGGATCGAGCCCCGCATTGGGCTCCCTGCTCGACAGGAAGCCTGCTTCTCCCTCTCCCACTCCCCTTGCTTGTGTTCCTGCTCTCACTCTCTCTCAAATAAAATCTATAAAAAAAAAAAAAAAAGATTCTCTGTCCCTCTTACCCCTCCTTTCCCGCTCGCTCTCTCTTAAAAACAAACAAACAAACAAAAAAAAAACAAAGCAAAACAACTTTCTCCCCCAGCCAAGAGAGAGCTGGGACGGGCAGAGAGGAATCGTTACCATTGGCAAAGACCTTCCCATATGCCAGATGACCACCTGTGGGCCCTACACTCCCATCACATACAGGTGGAGGTGTGCAAAGGCTCAGAGAGATGAAATAAATTGCCTGAGATCCCACAGTAAGGATTTTTTAGCAGAGCAGAAATTACTAGGGAATCTGATGAGAATGTTCCTGCTTGCTCAGGGTCAAATAGAGCATCACAAGCTGGGAAATTTGCTCAAAGTGCAGACTAGTTTGTCAGGCTTCTGGAGATCCAGAAGGACCCTCTGGGCCCAAGCTTCTGCTACAGGTACCACCCCAGGATAGGGGGTAGTGGTGGGGGAGAGCGCCAGATGTCCAAGTTCTGGCCACACCACTTGCTGCTACCACCACCCACCCCTCAGATTGCTACATGGGCGGAATGAGGCCATGTCGAGAACAGCTGGCCTTCATAAACCCTGGAGCGTGCTGCTTTGTGGCAGAACTTAAATTCGGTGGAAGAGACATTGGCTCTGTCCCCCGCCTATCTCTGAGCCTACTGTTTTCATTCGGGTCATGACCCTAGTCACTCCAGGCTGTGTGGATTGCATGGCAAAGTGCCTGCCAGTCCGCAGCCTCTGGAGCTCCGGACAGGGCGGGGTCATCCTCCTTAGTGAAGGGCTCTAAGGATGCAAAGACCGAGCCCCTATCCAGGTGAGGCTAGTCTGTTAAGGACACAGCAGAGTAAAACAGCTGTGGGCTCTGCCCCTGCCACACCCTGGTGCTCCTGAGCGCCTGTTCCGTGCTGGGACTGCTCTCCTTCTGGAGAACCTGCACAAACTTCCTGACCCTCAGCGGCCCTTCACCCCTTCACCAGAGCCTTGTAGCTGTCCTCTTCTGTGATCCTGGCCTTTCATTGACCTTAATTATACTAGTAGCACCGCATGCGTTTTCTTTGTAAACATTAACATGTTAGAGGCTGGGCTAAAGGTCCCTTTGTCCACTGCCACCCCTAGTCCAGCTCGTGTCCTATGCCCCAGGGTTCATCCACTATTACCATTTTGGGCCCTTCCAGATAGCCTTCTGTGCTTTACGTTTGTGGATGTGCTCCTTTTCTCTCCTCTCCAGAAGGACAGACAGAGGTGGGCACCCCAGACAAGGAAGCTAGCAACCAGCCTGAGAGCAGCGATGGGACCACCTCGTCTTGAGTCTGACCTTGCCCATGGAGGATGGAAAAGAGACCTGCTGTCCTCGCCTGGACAGGGAGCCCTGGCACTGGCCTTGCAGCCTCTTCTCTGAGCCCCTGTCCCAGACAAGCCAGGCCCGAGTGAAAAGGCACCCCTCAGAGGCCACCATGGCCCGTACCCTGGAAAAGCCCTCCACCTGCACCCTCAGGCTCCACTTGCCCACCACCTCTTCACTGTGCCCAGGTACACTTCCAAGACCCTGTAGCTGTGGGGCATTATTCATTCAGCGGGCACCTGAGTGAGCAGCCCCTGCAAGAATGCACCTCCACAGGTGGCCTGGGCAGCAACCACAGCCCAGCTCTGCCCCCCCCCCTTCTCCAAGCCCAACCTTCTGGGTCAAGATCTTCATATCCCTTTTTTAAAAAACACTTTTAAACTTTTTAAAAACTTTAAACTTTTTTTCCAGGAGAGAGGGAGGGAGCTGTGTTTTTGTTTTTTTTGGGTCTTTTTTGGAAGGCATTATAAGTTAAACTGACCATCTATGCAGCTCTGCGTCCCCTCATGGAGCTCTACAGATCCATTTCTAGGGAAGGGGTTTTGTGCTCAAAACTGTCTGATCAACTCTGCCCTTTCTACCAAGATAAGTGACACCTAGGACCCAGGAAATAAATGCAGATGATTTGTGTGACTGGTTTACGATTATTTCTCCTTTAAACAGCGAAAGTAGGGGTGGGCCTGGTTTCCCCAAGTCCACAGTTAGCTGGGACCCATCACTGCCCTGGGCTTCTGAGCAAGGAAGTACCTGAGAAGAGGCTGGTCTTCACAGAGGCTGGCACCCTCTTTGGCCCGGTGCCTGATGAGTCTTCCATCTGTCCCTCTTGCTCACCCTAGTCCACAGCTCACCCAGATGGGCAGGCCCAGCCCTTAAAACCTACAGTGGGAGGGGGCTAAGAGGGAGCATTTAAGCAGATTCATTCAAGAGAAGCCTTGTTTCTTCTGGAGGGAAGGCAGACTGTGGTCCCGTCTTTGCCCCCAGGGTTAGAAGCTCTAGCTTCCTCCTCACAGCCCCTACCCAGGATCTCAGGACCCTGCTGCTGAGCAGGCTGCCCAAGTCTGGGAGCCCAGAGGCTCCTTCCATTCCCACTCCGCCCAAGACCATGGCGCTGCATAGTACCAGCCATTGGCTTCTTTATTGAGCACCAGATTTTCAGCATGAGTCACCACAGGAGGAAGGTTTCAGATTCAACCAGACTCTGGCCCGTAGTCAGAGGAGAGATGCGGTGTGCCGAGGTATTCGTGTGTGGAGAAACAGGCACACGGGCTTCAAGAGCAGCAGTAGCTGACTATGCCGATCTTCCTCGAAGGAGTAAAGGTAAGTGTCATTCAATCCCACAGTGCTGGGGAGGCTCCATCCACAGGGTGAGGGCTTGGGGAGGTGGCCATGACGTCTTCAGGGATGCTGCCCTGCTTGCCAGGTCAGAGACACAGAAAGATTAGCACCTGCTAGTACCTGGGATGTAAAAAATCTCAGAACATCAGAGCCAGAGAGGAACCCTCTTTCTGCAGAGGGGGAGACCGAATGCTTTGCCAAAGTCACACCAGAAGGAAGGAGTGGAACAGAGCTAGGAGCTAGGACCTGGGCCCTGGGCCCAGCTCCCCTGCCCTTGGCTTTAGGCAGCCATGGAGATGGCCCATGTTGCCAAGACCTTTGGGACTAGGCTTCAGAAAGTCTCTCCCGAGACCAGCCTGAGGATGGCATTATACAGAAGGTAAGCCAACCTAGTGAGAGGTGCCATAAGCTATAGCCATGTAGCCAGGGAGGCCTCATACATCCTTAGTGCTGCCCAGGAGAGGAAGGGAGGGCTTCTTGTAGGCAATCCCACAGAAAGCCAGGCCACAGTCTGGGCAGGTGAAGAGCCCAGAAGCTCAGCCAGGAACACACCTGCAGCGGCCAAAGATGGCATCCCATAGGCGTTATAGAGCAGATCAAGAAGCTGCTTCTTCTCATCTTCCGGGAGGAAACTGGACTTCGCCGCATTGATGTTCTAGAAGGGCCAGAATGGCAGATAACATAAAACCAGAGAGCATGGAAGGAAGCCCTTGGCAATCTAGTGATGAGCCATCCTCTTCAATGAACATGGGCAATGATTAACCTCACAGTGGGGAAGGATGTGTCCCATGTCACACGGCAGCAAGTGCCAGAGGAGAGACCATGAGGTTCAGTGTTCTTAAAGTGCCACTATGTGACACGGTGATGGCAGAAGGAAGATGGAGAAACTGGAGACCAGGTGGGATATGCGGGGCTGGAGAGAGATTCCTGCAGGGACAGATTTGGGGTATCACAACCCCTAAAATTAAGGGCTCGGCCTGGGATCTATGAATGGCCTGAAAAGTGTGTGAAGAATTTTATAGCTGAGCACACGTTTCTGGGAAGGGAGTTGACAGCTTTTAACGGATTCTTTGCAGGCACTCGACCCAAGCAAAGGCTGAAAAACCTGGTCGTAGATCAGTGTGCCAGCTCGAGATCTTGTCCATAGAAGGCACCTAACTCCTCTAGGTCTGGCTTGGCCTGGTGAGGCAAATGCCTCATCACCAGAGGTCCTGGGCCCTGGCCAAGACCTGCAGGCCTCACACACTCCCAAGGCCGAGAGTCAAGGCCACCAGGACTCACGCCCACTCACCAGTCTCTTGAACTCCTCTTCGGTAAAGTCCATGTGCTGTTTGGTCATCTGGTAATCCGTTTCCAGGGTGGACTTGAAGATGAGTGGGTCATCTGTGTTGAGTGAGTAGTTAGCCTGGTCGCGTTTGAACCTGCATACAGGGGTGAGGTGGGGAGGGAAGAGCCTCCTGTACTCTTACGTGAACAGTCCCCTTCGACCTGGAAGAGCTGCTCACCGTACAGGGGAAGGAAATTCAGAGAACTCGGGTGACCTGCACGATGCCACGGAACTAGCATCTGCAGACCCGCACCCATCCGAGTGGGCCAGAGCTGAGCAAAGGCAGAAGAGGACCAGGTAGAGTGGGGGTCAGGGGAGGCCAAACAAGCAGCACCCCCTCCAGCCACCACCCTCTCTAGCTTTCGCCTTCCTAGCCAACATTCTGGGAGAGTCGTCTGTACCCCTTTCACCTCGATCCCACTAGGATCGACTCTTCAACCACTGGCCCATGGAAAGGGCTCCTGGCCCTGTCCCAGGTCACTGTCTTCTTACACCCAGGAGGACCTTCCCTGGCTCTTTACTCAACTTGTGTACAATTTTACACTGTTGACTGTTCTTAAAACCCTTTCCCTTGATTTCTCGGACCAGCCTCTGCTGTCTGTCCTCTAGTGTCACTGTCCTGGGTTCTCTCCTAGGCCCCATCGCTCCATCTCCTGAGGCTGGCCCTTCTCCAGCCACCGAATCTATGTAGCTGATTCATGAATCTTTCTCCAGCCCACAGGCTGTGTACCCATGTGCCTCCAAGAACCTCCACTCGGACACTCTGCAGGTACCACACACTCCACCGGCCCGAAGCAGCCCTCAGGAGCCCCTCGTAATGAGAACATCAGAGCCCAAGCTCCTGCCATTGAGCTTGGCCTGACCGCGGTTGCCCCAAGTTCTTGCTGTCTTATCCTGTGTCAGGAAAAGGTGGCTTTGCCCTCCTGAGGCCTGATGCCACTCCCAGGGCTCAGTCACAGGACCGCCGGAAGAAGGGCCAAGGCCTCTAGTTAGATGGTGGGTTGGGAGCAGGTGGAGCACCCACAGGTGCCGGGAGAAGGGACCACGTGAGCTGGAGAGACTCAGCTTCCGGACGTCCAGAGTCTAGCGTGTGGGAGCCCCCCTCCCCCCCCAGGGCAGCAGGGCACTCTGCGGTGTCTGCTAGAGTGAGACGGCCCTCAGTTCTGCTACTTAGGGCCCGGGCTACCTCAGTCCTGTCACAGCACCCCGAGCTTTGGCCTCCTCGCGTGTAAGATGAAGACAGCAACACTGCTTCCCAAGGACTCGAGGAGATGTCCTAGCAAGAAGGCCCCACCTGGGCTAGTGCCCGGTCCCTCCACTCCCCTCCCAGCCTTGGCCTTCCTGGTACAAAGCTGAACGGGCCCCAGGGACTGGGCCTCACCGAACCACCGCGTGCTCCGTGTCCCACTTCCAGGCGCCTGTGAGGTAGCTGGACCAGGGGCAAACCTGGAACAGCAGGTGGGTGGTTGGCACGCGTGCACCCCCCCCCCCCCGGCCCCCCTGCCCCCCCCCCCCGTCCCCCCCCGGGCCGGAGCCACAGTGGCCTCCCAGCTGCCCCGCTGGCCCGGCTCCTGGGGCCCTCCTGGCTCTCCGCCTCTGTCCTCCCACCCCCTGGCCACTCGCCTCGAAGTGCATGTTCTCCCGCCGCAGCCTGGCATAGAGGGTCTCGTCCTCCAGCGTGTGGTAGCCATGTCCCAGCCTCTCCGTCTTGAGCGTGTCCACAGCCTGCGGAGGAGTGGAGTGGAGCCCAGTACAGGTGGGGAGGAAGCAGGGAGAAGGGCCCCACACCAGCCCAGCCTCCTCACCTCTCTCACCACCTCGGCGGAGCCCACCTCCCCTGCGTGGACAGTGCGGTGAACGCCACTCCTCACAGCCTCCTGGAAGGGCGAGAGTCGGTCACGGGCGGCCTGGGGGAGGGCCCCAGCAGGCCCAGTCTTCACCACACTTTGGGTCCAAGTTTTGGCAGACTTGAACCATGCCCTTCTTCAGTCAGCTGGCCTGCTTCAAGATGGGGAAGTCGGGGGTTTTGTTTGTGTAATCCTAATTTAAGTGGTAGCTACCATTTGTTAGACAGTTGTTCTGTGTCGGTCACCGTATGAAAGTGCTTGTATACGTTACCTAAGATCCACAAATATTCTAGTACCCGTTTTACAATCGGAGAAACAGGCCCAGGAAAGTAACAGGACAATGGTCAAACAGCTGGGAAGAGGGGAGCCAAGCTCTGAATCAGGGCAGTGAGACTCCAGAGCCCCAGCCCGAAAGCCCGAGCTCCAGCCACGGGGAATGAGTGCGTGGTGAGGCTCTGAACGTTTGCTGGGACTCCGTCATCCCCACAGAGGAAACTGAAGCCCCGAGAAGGGACAGTTTCCCCCAAGGTCACACAGCAAGTTACAGGCAGAAACAGGCTCACACACACGAGTCCCCACACCGAGTGGGATCTTCTGTTTATCCCAAACTCCCAATTTCTAGCACCCCCAAGACCCAACTAAGGCGCACTTGAGAACGGAGGCTGCCCCACCCTCCCCCGTCCCTGTGACCATTCCCTCCGGGGTGGAAACGAGCGCCTGCGGCCCACCCGGCACCAGCCCCTCCCCACGTCCTTCGCACGGGACCTACCTCGAAGGCCTTCACGTGTCCTGGGAAGAGGCTGCTCCCTTTGATGTTCTCATCTCCAGCCAGGTCCATGGCCACCACAGTCTGGTGCTGGTACTTCTTACACATCTCCACCACCTCCAGGGACCAGTCTGTGGGCAACATGCCCACCCGGCCTCTGTTGACGGCACCGAGGAGAGAGGTCCCCCCTGCTCACTGTCTCCCGACCTGAGGGCCAGCGCAAGGCGGAGGGCCCAGGTCTTGTCTTCCCCTCCTCGCTGCCGCGGCCTAAGCACAGGGCCTTCAGCAAACTGCTCCACCCAGGGCCTCAGTTTCCTCTCCCTTCAGAGAGGATGCCTCCCGCCACCGCACAGGC